GTAGTAATGACATGGGGGTCTTCTCATGTAAAAAGAATGATGACAGCTTTCAGGCGCTAGGCTTGATTCGGAACAATGAGGATTAGTTATGGCTGTCTATTCTGGAAGTGAAGTGTGTTTTTTCTTCATTTTAGGAAGCATCGAAAGTTTTGTTGAACTCCCTATCGAAATAAGTGGCACACATGACCTCAATCAACGTCGGAATACTCACATTATTTGGTCACCAGTAGGCTTCAATTCTAAAACCATGTCAGAAAAGCATGTTCTTTTCGAAACATGGAGGTAAGAAAAGCTTGTATAACGATGGAGTTTAATCGTTCACAAGTGCTATTGACGACTCTAAAAATGCATAGAAGATGGAGAAATGGGAAATAAAGTGATAGACTCAAAGCCAATTCATTCTATATAAACATAAACTCAAGAATTTCCGTTTAACGCTAGAACACAGGCAAAATTTTCAAGTTTAAGCTCAACATTATTAATTTAAGCTCTAGCAGTGACATTTATGTTTACAACCTATACTGTCCCTAGAACATGCAAATTGCCATTCGTGACATTGTTCCCTGTCAAAAAAAAAAAGAATCCGTCTTCATGTGATAAACTGAAACGTGTCAACAATAAGCCAAAAATATCTAAGTAAAGAACATAATTAATGGGTCATCACATCTTCACTAATCTGCTACTAAAGTACATCATAGTAGTTTTTGAATAGTAAAGCCTCATTCATGGCGCTCAAAGAATCTTTATCTCAGTGTTGATGGTGAAAAAAATGACAAACTGCCCAATGTTGAGCTTACTTTCTATTGAACATGCATTTATTAGCTATAGCTGTACAAAGTCTTACACTTTACAAGACAACTGTCATACAACCTCATTTCAGCTAAGCAAGGGCGATGCTTAAGATATGGATTTTGATTATCAATGTCGATGTGTATAGAAAGTCGATTTTTTGAATCATAACGCTTATATGCTTGATATCTTTGAGCTCGCATCTATAAACTCCACTATGTTCGAGAAAAAGAAATCCTTTTCCTGTCTCTCTGTTATCATTCCAAGACAAGCAAGTCTTGATTGAGGGCATCAAATAAACCTCTACCACAAAAGCTGCGCTCGCTTCTAAATCATTGATAACAAAAACGTATTTGCAAAGTTCTTTTCCGTAAGGATCTGTAAACACATCAGATATTATGTGAACTGGTTGACAAACACCAGTGATATTTTCCTAATCAGATATATAGGATCCTAGTTCAATTGTGATAATATGCTTCAAATTTTTATCGTTGAATCACTAATGTTCTAGTGGTCAATTAATTAGAATTAAAAAAAAACAGAGATGGACTTGAAATCATGAGTGAGATGTTTCACATATTAGCATTACCTATTCAATATCCAAACTCCTCAACGGCCTATCACCTTACACCTACCACACCTCGATGGAAGATAAGAAAGAACTTGACATTCATGCGAAATGGACGAAATTAAGATAATGCTATGTTGATAACTACCCTAATGATGGACAACACGTTAATCACAAGACACCAAATTTCCTAAAGACATACAGCTGTTGACGCCTGTAGTGACGATTTCAGATATAATAACTGTTCTCTTGTCATTCTAAAGAAGAGAACAAATTTCAAGCGACAAAATACCATTTTAATGAAGCGTTTTCTTGATAGGCACAAAGTCGCTATAGAGAAAAGTCACTCAAGCGATTAAGTAAGAAAAAATGAGGCGGCAGATAAGAAGACCATCGATGTCACACTGGATGAATGATAGTCGTCTTGTTCTTACGATGCATGAGCGAGCAACAAATGACCGCGTAGACACGCAATCTGCTTATCTCAGCACGCAACCATGCTTCATCTCAGCTGCACTACTGATCTCAGCAAAAACTAAAGTAGCTTCGCTCAAAACGAGATACTTTTTGTACTTTCTGATAGCTAGGAAAAGTCACATCTAAAAAGAGATCTCGTTTATTGCTATGAATGGCAATGATTGAAGTATTCACATGGAAAAAAAAAAACTGTATGCACTTATAAAAAACGCGGCTGGTGAATACTACACTAATTTCTGAAGTAGTCCCAACTCAAAAACTCAATAACGACTTCGTCACACTTTATCTCATTTGGTGTGATTTATGTTGGAATGGACGTGACAGCATCATCACTGAGGCACTAAACGAGTAAATCAAATCTGCAATGCACTTTCGGCAACTCATCACTCTTTGTATCAAATTTCATAAACAAGATAGAACAGAAAATCACGGTCTAAACAAACTACTGATTAACAAAATTTTTGATGGATCTTTACAACATAGTTTTGTGACAAGTGCTTTGAGTTCAACCATTCTCCTAACTCCTTGAGTACGATGTGTCATTTGCGCATAGGACACTGATAGCCGTGCCAGCGGCGGGCAGTATGTATTGGCGTGCGCTGCAATGGGAACAGGGGAATTTATTTAGTAAATTGAGGTTGTGAAGAGACAGTATTTTGATTAGATGATGGAGATAATTTCAATAAAAAGAAGGCACAATCAAAAAATTCTCTTTGTTTCCAAAAGAAAAGACATTGTTTTAAATAACATATTTTCAAACAATATTGGACATTTTTCTTATACATAAGTTTTTGAAATGATTCGATAGCTTCAGAAACGCGTTTTCAACAATGAGTTTGGTTTGCGGAAAAGCTTCAGAATTCGTATTAAAACGAAAGAAAGATAAAGTCTTGTCTTTTTCAACTTGTTTATGAATGTCATAAATGAATAAATGAATAATAAAAAGCTAATACCCAGAGAACGATAGAACACTCCGCTGTATATATACACTTTCAGCCGACTATTTTAAGATCTCGCTTGAAATTAATACTAGGTGGGAAAGAAAGCTTCCATCGTCTGATATTACATTCAAAATTTATGCATATATTCAAACAAAAAACAACAACAACTAATCTTCATGATACAGGCCATCATTATCCACCCCTTTTTGCCATCGGTCCGCCAGGTTCGGATCTGACCAAAGTACCACTCCTTCGGCTTTGAATCAAACAACTCTTGACATGCTTCTTCAACTTCATCGAAATATTCAAATCGGCGACTTTCCAAATAGTGTTGCGTCAAACGGAAAAGGCCGTAGTCAGATGGAGCAACGTCTGGACTATAGATTGGATGCGGAAGAATCTCAACTCCGTCCAGTTCCTCAAACTTTACCTTGGTCTTTATGGCTGTGTGTGATTTGCATTGTCTTGCTGAAAAGGAGCGCGTTTTCGACGAACAAGTTCTGGGTACTTCTCGACCAACCATTCTGCAGCAGATATAGACAAAAAACGTATCAGTAGATGCGCAAGAACTAGACCTTTCGAATGATATGAAAATCACAAACGATTCATGCAAAAAACGACACTCCCATCCAAGCGATGGAAATTTTCTTTCCAACCTAAAACATTCTGACAAGATATTTTAAACCTTTCATGGAGTCTGTTATGGCACTTTAAAATGCACGACATGTGTTTCGGCCTTTCAGCCTCATCAGTAGCACGGTACTTTTCATTTCAGTCAGTTTCTTGTAAGAAAATATACCCCTACATATAATGGAATCAAGGCCGCATTATTTAAACTCTCTGTTTGGTGAAACATCACTGTGGCGTTCTACCTGAGTGATTGATTCTTGACTGGCGTTTGATTGGCTAACGGCTACTACGCCAGTATATATATATATATATATATATATATATACATATATATGCATATATATGTATCAACACTGACTGTTTCCTTCAGACGGCACAGAATCAAAACCAATCCGTTTCGCTCTATATGAACTTTCTTAAATCTCTGGGAACGCAGTACATGGCTATTTTTTTAAAATGACTCTTTTATTAGGCTGTGAATTTCAAAACAATATTATGTTTTACATCGATCGCGTGATTAACAATTACTTCGCCGGAGGCACACACAAAATATGGAAATGAAGAGAAAATCTTTTAGTATCAGAGTTAGACGTTTAATCTGGAGTTTTTTCAAAGCGGAGGAACAGTTCCTAATTGAATGACAAAACCAAAGTTTGCCAAAAATCTAATCGATCGAGCGTTAAAATGGCCTGATCCAACCTGCGACGCCTGCCCTTCGTAGGATAGCCAAAATAACTATGCTCGCGTATGTGAACTAAATCTTATTTTCCCTACTACACTGCAGAGAGACGGTCTTTCCAGAAAATAAGCACAGCGTTGGAATCTTCAAATCTTACGTTATCGAATGATTATTGATAGTCCAAAGAAAAGAGATCTACCTTGCGAGAACAACGTGTGTGCAGAACACAAATGTTTTATTTTCGTTGAAGCGTTATAAATGGACTTTTTCAAAGAACCGGCCACTTAAGCTCTAGCCTGAGTTTTCAGCTTTCGAATAGTTACTAACACTGTTATAGAAAGCTCCTGTCCAGCGAAAGGGATCGGTTTTTGATCCTAACTGGATCGAAAGACACCGTGCTAATGATGAGGCTGATAGGCCAAAACACATTTATAGCACTCTATAAATATGAAAATCCCCTCTGTCATATTCTACATTTACTGACGAAATTTCCATCATCTGAATTTCATTGAAGAACGACCACGTTTAATTGGCGTGCCCCGCTCACCGCGCAAAAAATCAACGTCGCAGTCAAGGTGTCGAAATATTCCTTTACAATTCCGCCTGACACGCACACATACACACATACACACACCTGCAGAGATTATATGCCTCAATGCGTTCGAAATCTTAGCAGTTTCACATAACAACAAGGATGATAGTAGCTGATAATCGAAACTTTTAGTATTTTTACTGCATTTTTCGCAGTGTTATGATGTTTCGAATATACTTAAGAAAGTTGAGTGGTGAGCAAAAACACGGCCTCAGGCAGAAATCGAACCCGCGTTTGATCCATATCAAGCCAATTAAACCTGTTAAAGGTTCATGGCTGATAGCTAACACAGAGATGTTGAAGAATGAGTGGTGGCGCAAATGTGGCTCGGTGGTGTAATGGTAGTAGCACGTGTCCCCGATATAGACGAAACGCGGGTTCGATTCCTGCCTCAAGCCGCGTTTTTACTCACCACTCAATTCTCTCAAGTATATACGATAATAGTAGCAACAAAAATTCCAATTAGTAAAATAATACTATGAGAACTCTTCATGTCAATCGATTCTATTTTCCAATGGCAGGTATTATTTTTCTAATCTACTCATATATTTCGTTAATGACATCATCTGTAAGCTACAAATTTTCAAGTGCAACAATCGAATATCCATTTCCAATCTGTCATCGCAGTAAATGTTAAATAAACTCATTTCAGGACTTTTAATTGGAACACAAGCATGTGCTATTCAAATTGTTACAAGCTCAAATATTGAGGAAACATACGTCATCTAACAAACAAGTCAATTATAATGATTATTGTCAACTATCCGGTATTTTTATCCGTCCAAAAGTGCTTCTGCACTTCGTTCTTCATTCTATTTACAATAATTCAAATAATTGAATAAAGACAGAAGGCCATAAAGAGTTTCAAATACAAAATCAATTTGCTAATCACATTTTACTTTTCATCCCCCTCTTAACTCCGAAGAGTAACCACCACTAGGAAACAATAAAAATCGAATACGTATGTATGCATATATACGTTTGTATATACATAAGTATATATATTATATATTATATTATATATATATATATATATTATATATATATATATATTATTAGGAATCCACAAACAAAGATCAACGAGAGTTTCGCTTTCCTTCCTAAAAGCAGCAAAAATCAAAGAAGCTTGAACATTTATGGTTACCTCCCTTTCCACAAACGTAACTTAAGTCATTTGAAAAAATCAATGACTGTGTACGTTTCTATCGAACTTACACGAGAACTACAACTATCCTCGTGACATTAACAATGGATAACCACGAACAGCCCGCTTACGCGACGACAAACTCGTCACAGGTCTCATTGCTAACTAACATCAACTAAGTTCACCAGCAACAATCGTTCATAAAAATAAAAAGAATGGAGAAATTTGCGAAGAAATTTCGTGACGTTATAGTCAAACAAACACTAACAGATCCCTTACAACTAATAGAACTCAAAAATTAATTTGGAATTCTTACTCTCATTCTTTTCTTCTCGTTCTGTCGAAGGACAAAAATAAACAGTAGCTTTAGGAAAAAAAATAAACGAGTCTTATATCCATCACCTTTCTCAATAAGACAACGGAAAAAGAGGAATGACAGATGACGCCATTCAAGGAAAAACAATAGCGCTGTTGATAGATAAAAACACTTTTCTTGTCAAGGTTTCTCATGTAGAACCTCTTTCATATACTATATTTAACCAAACTTAATTGGGTAGCTTTACGAGAATGTCTAGGTTAATTATTGACCAGCAGACTTCTAAAATCATGCATGAAAATGAAGAGATCTTTTCAAAGTTAAAATTTATAAAGCTCAACCAAACGCGTCCAAAGTAGATAGGTATCAAATATGAGTGAATGTACCACAACACTCAGTCAAAATGAAATCGACTACTTGGAGTCGGATTTGCTTAGTTCATAAACACGTGTGTGAAAAACCTACCGTTGTACATGATGATGTCATGCTCAGAAGTCTACGATCCTCCAGCTGTGTATCAAACGTGAACGGTGACGGACCGATAAATGGTGGTGGAGAAACGTGGCCCAAATCGGTGCCCATTCTTTTTTTCCAAGATGGACTTCGTCGTTGCGTTACAGACGATGGTAACGCGATCATAATCCCCGATGCCATTAGCTGATCGTCAATATATGAAGCTCGCCGCCTGCGTGCTGCTGACCGCCAAACATGGTTTGGCCTTATCAAAGGACTTCCTGAAGTGACTACCGACAACGATGGTGTTACTGGTAGCGTTGACGCCCATGATGGTTGCGAAAAACGACGTCTTCTGTGATTCTCCATAGCGTGGATTAGCCAGGCTCAAGGCATTCCTGTGAGAACATAGAATCTTCAAGGGCGTGGCTTTCGTTTCACTAAATATTATCCAATTATTTTCAGGCAGACGCGTGAATCAGTTGTGCTAATCTCGACGAAACAGCAAGAGAGGATGATCGAAAAACAATCGTCAGTAAAATTGAAGACTGTGTAGACGATATTTCCACGAATAAAAGGAAGAATTAGGGAAGCTATAGGAAGACTAAGAAGTATACTGAACAATGATTAAATGAAAAAGAACAATATCAAAGTTCTTCATAAAACTCTATATGAGTAGTAGTTTAAGTGTACAAAAAAATGAAATGACAGGCACAATTCGTGATTTATTTGAGAGCAGTTTCTCACAGGCGAGTTTTAATAGAATTATGATCTCGTGAAATGGATAACAATGTAAAAACAGAGAAAGAGAACGACAGAGAGATAGGAGAAAGAGAGAAAGGAAGATAAATGGAAGGAGGTGAGAAGAACAGAAACGCATTTGCTACCTACCTTAAGTTTAAATACAAAACACATTAGCTGGTAAAAAAGCCCACAATAACTTTTTGCGCTTTGATACAAAGTCACTGAACTAATACTCCTTAGTGAGGATATCCAGGTAATAAGTAGCATGGTTACGTAGCACGTTCCAGGTAAACAAGAATATTTTGAATCCAGTTCGACAATTCAACTATTTACAATTACTTTACAGTAATTTGGTTCAAAAGCGGAATGGAGTACATCTAGTGCCTCCTACAAGAAAGAAGCCTTCCATCTATTCTAAAGAATCCCGACAAGCTAACTATGGGTAAGGCAAAAACGGCAGGAATAGAGAGTCTTATTTCTGGTCAATTCAGAGGCTTTCTGTGATCTTGAAGTCATTCAAGGTTGCTTTGGCGGGGAAATAATCTTATTGTGACGACCAGAGCTTACAACACCTGGATGCTACGAATGGAAGTCTCTATTCAAAAAAAATTATCACATGAAGAAGAAGCACAACATGTCGGACTAAGCTAAGTGAGTAAATATCTCCTATTTAACGTCACTTTTCAAATATAAGAAACCGATACTCTTAATGTGAGCTAAGAGTGGTTGACAGACATTGTGCGAAACAAAACATGATGGCTATGAACAACACTCTCTCTGTGATTCCCTTGAACAACTAAGCATCCAAGTCGGAATTCTAAGATTGCAAGGATATGAACCAATTGTGACCCTAACAATTTCAAGGAGATTGACAGAAAGTTGGAATAATATGGGCACCTCCTTTAGTGTATGTGAATAGGGAATCCGAAATTTGAACTATGTCGACAGCCATGCAACACAAAGGTCGAAAAAAGGGGTAAACTTGTCACGTGAGTCGTTTTCATCAATCGATGAATAAGGACCGTTAGCGACTATGGACGGGGCTATGTTTAGCCCATATAAAGAGCACTGACTCGATGGTCATATTTCATCACAAAAATAGTCAAAGAAAAATTTCTTAGTATGGTACTCTATCGTATTTCGAGTAAGGAAAGCTTGGACTGTGGCACGTGCAAGTGTGATGGAAGACTTCACAGGCGCTCACTAACTTTTGTAATTTGGCAACAAACAGAAGACATGTGATGTAGATGATTCTTTACATAACGACACCAATCAATAGGTACAATGTCTAATTTTCTTGGTGAACATTTTGGGAAAGCACACCTCTTTAAAAAGGTAAAGATGTTATATTGCTATTACGAAAAATATGAAATTTTGCGATCTCGCAACTCGATGTCTCAACCTTAGACACAAATCAGACTTAACAAAAATTGATAAACATTTTTTTACACATGATCCGTCATTGAAATTCAGTGCAGATCTCGGATTTCTTGCGACTGATTCGTTTCCTAGCGTTCATCTTCTGAAAGGTCCTCGAATATTTCACGTGTTGCTTCGGCTGACTCTCGAGGACCTCTTCTTCAACATGCCGAGTAATGATGGTTTATACGAATATCCTTGCAACCTTGGAGTTACTCATGTTTAGGTATTCTTGATGTGCACACGGAGTGACTGCAGGAGTATCGTCTATCTCCTCTTATCTGTCAAGTTTATTAATACATCGGAAAAGAAGCTCTTACAGAAGCCTCATTTTTTGCGAAAATTTATTTTGATTTCTCAAATTTTCACAAAAGTTCCTCTCCGAGATTCATCGCCACAGCAATTTCTCCGATGATTGTTTGAGAAATGTCTTTCCTTCATATTGCCCATTTCGCTGTTCTCGGTATCGAGTTTTGTTGCAAATAATCAAGTGTTAGATTAATGAGTGGACTGCTATTTGTGGTTTGATCATTGGTTTCAGATCGACATTCCGCAAGCTATTGAATAACAATCTGACAACATATTTTGAGTCTTTCATGAGGTCTGATATGGCACTCATAATGACAGACGTACGTTTCGGCCTTCCGACCTCATCAGTACAGAGTCTTTTCGTTCAGCCAATTCTTGCAGACGATTGTACTACCTACATATGAAGGAACCGATGCCAACTTCGTTACACTGTCCATAGAGTGAAAGGATCACCTTGAACTGCAGTGATAACAAGTGACTGTATGGGTATGGTAGGTGATAAGATTACCTGACACTGCAGTGATTAACAGTCGATTGCTCATGCTTGCTAATTTGAATACCTTTTTCTTTGGCACTTCATCAACCGTCATCACAGTGCCTTTTTCTTCACTGTGCACATCCCAGTACTTCAGATATTCTAACGTTCTTCGTTTTCTTCTTGGATGTTGTAGAATACTCTGGTTGAGCGGGCCCTCATAGAATCTCGAGAATAACCTGGCCGTGGCGATCCAAAGGGGTTCGCTGTTGACTCCCGAGGACCTCTTGGTGGGGGGCTTTGGCCCCACGCCCGCTGCGACGAGTACTAATCGGCAATAGCGCCCCCGGTAATTTGAATAACACCTTTATAAAACCAGCCACGAGTAATCGACTGTTACACACTGCAATGCCATGTGATCTTTCCACTTGACATGCGGTGATTTGCTATTACTGCAGTGTAGGGTGAACTTTTTACTTTATAGAAAGTGTAACTAAATCAGCGTCAATTTCTTTACATGTAGGGGCATACTCTCCTAC